TTGTGGCCAACGCTTCTAAAAGTAAACACCCAACGAAGTTGCATAGGGAAACTATATCGGTGCGTAGAGATGCATTGCAGTGGGACGGAAGACAATGTTACTTAATTGCAACAGCCCCCGATGGGTACTGCGGCCGAACAGCTAACCGCGCAACTTTGTTAACCAGTGCGTGTGCAAAAAATACAAGACTTTAGCCAACCGGCTCTAAGTTTTGGTGAGCCCTCCTGTATGTGTGAAGAATGTCTCCAAGTCCATCCTCTGAAGATGGACTCCTGTAAGAGTTTGAAAGCTCAGGACAATAAATCGATTAATCCGGTGCTCGACACGTCTTCTTTCTTATCCATGCAGATACCTGGGTCGTGAACCTTCTCATTCATTCGGGAACAATTTGGGCGCGATGCGCTTCGCACAGCTCGCAGCTGGGAGGTATGCTCCACCCGAGAAGCAGCCACATATGAACAACTCCGCATCTACTATTACTGCCTCATAGGGTAATCAGTCCAAAACTCGGGCACAACGTCAGGAAATTAGCCGCAGGTCGTTGTATTCGCGTATAGAACTAAGAGTCGTCCAGCTGTATATTCTCCATATTAAGGAAAACGCATATTCATTGATGGTATACAGAAGATATGAGATGCTATTCGTAAAACCTGTGTAGGGGTTGCGGAGTACTCCGTAAGGGGCATTAGTAAATGGATAGATACGGCGTTATTTTAAGAGACCATTGCACAGTTTTCAAAATATCATATTCAAACCATTTTAACCTGCTCTTCGAATGCTAATTGTCAAGAAGACGCGTATAAGAAAGGATATCTTTCGACCGTGTTTTCGGTAAAATATGTTTGAACTTATAATGACGACGAAAATTAATGGAAAAGGACAGACTATTTAAGTAGTCATTCGGTGCTGGGGTCATTGATCGTACGGCAGCGCATTTGAAAGCTGACATTTTGGCGTGACTTAAATATCTTAGGGTTACGGGGATTTCATTTCACTCAAGTTGGCCTTCCTAATCAAAAATACCTTTCGGAATCCGTTTTAAAGTTGCTTGAGGGTGGCCACTGGGTGTACATACGCTCAGCGAGGCATTTCAGTGGATTAACGCAGATAGCACGGTCTGCAGGCATCTGCTAGGGTGACCTCGGAGAGTAATGAAACCTCAGGAAGTTAGCCGCAGGCGTTTACTCAGTTCTCAGCTCGGCATCGCAAACTACAAGCTCAACAGGCTGAAGGCGACCATCGTTGGCCGCATGACTAGCTAGCTAGCTGTCACAGCTCTCGCGCGAAGACGGTCAAGTGCGCGACCGATAGACATCACCGTCGCAAGTGATGAGACTGTTATGACCCGCGCCTGGTACTTTTAATTAATACGAACGCCGAACCCCAAAGAGCACGTAAGAGCGAGACAGAGAGAAGACCAGTCGGCCAGAGAGTGGGAGAGAGTTTATTCAATCAAGCAGGTTACAGCAAGTCAGCGCAAGTCTTTGAGTCTGAAACGTACAACAAATTTAGGGCAACGAACGGTTGTAAGCAAGGTCCATCTAGCCAATCAGCTTTTGGCTACCGACACGATTGGCTGGGACTCGGCGGTTGACATTCAGCTTAAATTTTGAAGCATCAATTAATGTGACTGCGAGGTGTGTTCGCTGCCTGTAGGCCGATCGATAGTCTGCTGTGAGCGCGGCTGCTTGCGCAGGCTATCTATTTTGTTAGGCGTCTCCTAACAGAGTAATCGTGGGAATGGGCGCATTCCCAGCACAGAGAGCAGTGCCGACTTGCGTCTTAAACTGTTAACTTAAAAGTAGCCCTGCAGGGTATCTAGCTCATTCCGGACCAGAACAGGCACATGGCACCTTAAATATCGATGCAGAGGGACGCTGTGATGGTCAGAGGCAGAGCTGAATAGCCTGTTCATCGCCAAACAAGCCAAGTTACATCTGAGAAAGACCACAACAAGAAGGAGCCTGAGAACGGCCAGGGTAGGTAGCCTGTCCGTTAGTAACCCTGCACGCCAACAACAGACTGAGCGCGCGTCGTGGTACTTTACCGAAACCCGAGGTTGTTTACGGGGAGGAAACTAGGTGAGGCAAAGTGAATCGAGAGAATACTGGCGTCTTTTTACAGGGCTTGGGGGGCTGAATGCTAGCTAGGCTGCAGAAATCAACGGTGTTACTGACGGCAGCGACGGCGACAGCAATATTCGCAGCCTTGGTGAAAAGTACTGGTGGCAGTTTCAAGGAAAGGCGTCCTTTGGGAAAATGAGTAAATTTATTCAGTAAATTTTCGACACAGGATCCCCAGGTCGACGCAGATTTGAGAAAATGTGCAAAGAACAGTTAGCACTTCAAAGTGCTGATACAATTATATAGTCATCTAGTGTAGGCGTTAATTGGGACATAATTAGCAGCCGCAATGGCGTAATGGCGAATTGGCAACTGTAATTTGAGTCAGTCCGGGGTCAGTCTAGGTCATCCGGTGTGGACGCTAATTGCGGTTCATGTTGGTCCATGTTTGTCGGCTGCTCTCTTTCAGCCTTTCTTTGAGGTGTTTGTACACTTCAGCTAACTCGATACGCCGGTTGATGGGGTGTTTGTACACTCCAGCTAATACGATATGCCGGTTGATGCATGAATCATCGGAGTGCATGGCCTCAAGAAATTCTCGGCCTCTTGTGGAGGGGCAAACTCCGACTATACGTGTTTTGTCCCATGCAAAGGTGTGTCCAGTGTCAAGGCAATGCATAGCCACGTCGGACAAATGGTTACGTCTCTTCACTGCCAATTGGTGCTCGTGAATGCATGTGGAGACGGATCTTCCTGTTTGCCCACAATATATCGTGTCACAAGCTTCACATGGGATTTTGTAGATGGCTTCTTTCTTACCGAGGTAACCAACTCTATCCTTGGGGTGTACTAGCTGAGTGCGTAAAGTAGCCATCAGTTTGTGCGCCACATTTATTTGTTTCCGCAAGCGTCTTTCAACGAGTTCAGACACGTTCCTCATACAAAGAAGGACTCGCCATTTCTTGGGATGTTGGCCTTCTAGTTTATACGAGTACTGGTGGCAGTGTTGGTGGTGGG